AGGACAGAACAAAACCATTTTTTCATGGTTTTACTTGTCCTTACAGAAGTTGTTTTGAAACCATCGAATCTGACTCTCTAAGACTATTCACCTTGTCGCCGAGCAAGTCGATAACATCTACAAACGAGCCTAATTTTACACATGGTGACAGCAATACAGCCGCTATCAAATCGCTTACATCAGGTCGTCTGCAATTACCCATTCAATCGTTAACAAAATTATACAATATGAGATAACCGGAATAAAAAGAGAAATTGTGTAGATTTTATCTCCAGATAGTACATGATCGAGCTATACTTCTTAACTCTTAAAAAGATATTATAGTCGGTTAATAAGGGATTCAATAACAAAATAAGCACTTTTACCGAAGATACATAATATTATGTAGTAGCATTGGATAAACTATGTCTGCAAAATTAAACCATGATCGAATGCACAGTACGCTAAATCCGCAGACTCTATTAGGTGAAAAAATTAGTTGATTCAAGTTTTCGATTCCACAGATGTCTCTATGGGTTTAGTTTGTTGAGCTAAACCAAAAATGTGGATAAACTATTTTGTCTTAACTATATGTAATCTTCAACTCAAACGACAATTGTAAAGAAGAAGATTAAATCAGATTTTCTACTTACGTCGGAGGTTGAAGGATAAGCTTCATGATTGTTTGGCATCTAGCAGTCTCATTACGCCATTTAGAAAGTGATAGATCGTCAAGCAGTCCCATATCAGGCCTGCACAGTGCTACTGTTGTTAAAGACGCAACCGGATGCACAATTACAAGTCAAAATTCAAATAAGCTTACCGTAGTTTGGCAATAAGCTGATAAACCGTCTCTCCTAACAAGTCGCCCGTTTGTACTGCCTCGATAATCAATCCGATTTGAACAGAGCTTAGCTGATCTGAGAACTTGAGCAATATTCGAGCAGTACCATTCATAATAAAAGCGGAATCCTATAACAGACTCTTTGGTAGCCTATTTTACATATCCTCGTATTCCCAATTATCTTACCGTACAACAAAACAACTCAGCAACACTAGCTAGGAATAGTTGTACTATATCCGCATCTTCTACGAGGCATAAGAAGTCTTCAATTA